TTTTTCTCAGGGGGGCTATAATCTTGTTTAAACTCATCACCTAGGTGAAACAAAGGAAGAGAATCACTTCAAGCAAGTAAAGCTAAGACACTCCTAAAAGTTGAAATAAGTTAATGAATGCTGACTATAACAAAATTAAAGGAAACGAACTGACACAGAGATGTAATGCTTTGTCCAGACAAATGTCTTCTCTTTAAATGTTTTCAATAATAGTTTTCTCACTTTTTATTTTTATATAACTTTCTTTTCTTTGAGAGACTTTTATTAAATAAAACGTATTTTTCTGGAGGACATTTCTACTAACTTCACTTATTAACAACGTTGACTAGCATGTCTTTTGGCTTGCATGACACTTTTACATAAATTACACTTACTCATCATAAAATTTTATAATACCAACTATGTTGTATCTATTTCTTGGAGTTGAGACTTGACTTGTCCATGTATGATTTGCTGAGGAATTAGTAAAAAAGAGGGTCAGGAGTCAAACTGAACTTTGTTCACCCCAAAGCAATGAACTTATACTGCAACTGACTCCTGAGATTTATTCTAGTATTTCGTTCTCTCGCTGTTTCTTCTAAGCTGTTGTTAAGCAGTTCAGAATGCGCCATGATAACAGTGCACTCATACCGAATCTGCATAAATACATGTAAGGCATGCACACGCACACGCCTGTGTTCAGTGGTTATCTATTATTTCATCTTGACACATTTCTCTTCTCACACAGACCTAGCCCTCTTTCTTCCCAGATGCATCGTAAGCCACTGGAGCCAGCAATCATGAAGGGCTCACTTGAAATAGGACAGAAGCAGCACCAGAGAAGGGTCGGTGAAAAATTGATGCACAACCCCGGCCTGTTCTGTCCCCTGGGGGAGGGCGGGCTTTGGGAGGATGTGAGAGCATCAGATGAGTGTGGGAGTACTCAGAGATCCTGTGGTGTATGACACACAATGTTTAATCTGTGCGCTATTTATAATGACGTTAATTGTCAAGGTTATTTTTGAGATAATAATTTTGCCTCTCTATTTTGAGAGCCAAACCATTGAAGAATACATTAGTTCTTGAGGCAACGTCTGGAGTCCTGTCCTGTTTTCTGCTGGCTGATACTGATAGATTCTTGCTGGTGTAGTTCGTGGGTTATGTGTTGGATTGTTAACCACGAGGCCATCAATTCAAAACCTGCAGCCGCTCCGTGGGAGAAAGACAAGGCTTTCTACTCCCGTAGAGTTACGGTCTCAGAAACACACAGGGGCAGTTCTGCCATTTCCTGTAGGGTTGCTATGAATTGACTCAACGACAGTGAGTTTCTCTCAGACATATCTATGTTATTATATTCTTTTTAAAAACTCATTTTCTTGGGGGCTCGCAAACTCTTATCACAATCCATACATCCATCCATTGTGTCAAGCACATTTGTAGATTTGTTGCCATCATCATTCGCAAAACATTTGCTTTCTACATGAGCCCTTGGTATCAGCTCCTCATGAACTCTTGATAATTTATACATTATTATTATTTTGTCATGTTTTACACTCTCCAACGTCTCCCTTCACCCACTTTTCTGTTGTCTGTCCCCCAGGGATGAGGTTATATGTAGATCCTTGTAATCAGTTCCCCCTTTCCACCCCAACCTCCTTCTACCCTCCCGGTATTGCCACTCTCACCACTGGTCCTGAAGAGATCATCTGTCCTAGATTCCCTGTTTCCAGTTCCTATCTGTACCAGTGTACATCCTCTGGTCTAGCTAGACTTGTAAGGTAGAATTGGGATCATGATAGTCAGGGGGAGGAAGCAATTAAGAATTAGAGGAAAGTTGTATGTTTCATTGTTGCTACACTGCACCCTGACTGGCTCTTCTCCTCCCTGTGACCCTTCTGTAAGGGGATGTCCAGTTGCCTACAGGTGGGCTTCGGGTCCCCAATCTGCACTCCCTCCTCATTCACAATGATTTGATTTTTTGTTATTTGATGCCTGATACCTGATCTCTTTGACACCTCGTGATCACACAGGCTGGTATGCTTCTTCCATGTGGGCTTTGTTGCATCTGAGCTAGATGGCTGCTTGTTTACCTTCAAGCCTTTAAGACCCCAGATGCTATATCTTTTGATAATTGGACACCATCACCTTTCTTCATCATGTTTACTTATGCACACATTTTCAACTTTCCTAATGCCGTGACCTGTTAATATAGTTCCTTATGTAGTGGTGACCCCCAAACCATAAAATTATTTCCGTTGCTACTTCATAACTGTAATTTTGCTACTGTTATGAATTGTAATATAAATATCTGATATGCAGGATGTATTTTCATTGTCTAAATTGAACATAATTAAAGCATCATATAAATTGAACATAATTAAAGTGATTAGTCACAAATATAATATGTAATTAATATATTAATTACAAATATACTATGTACAAATATAATATTATCTACAAATATATGAGATATGTAATTATATGTTGTGAAATATTTATTTCTAATGACAAATAAATGGAATTTTGTCTTGAAGCATGGTGTAGCATGGGTAACAATCTTAATATAATAACAGTAAACTACATTGCTACATTTTGGGACAGTATGGGTAAGAAGCTAACGTCAGTGTGAAGGTTGAGATAGCTTCTTTCTCACTAGAACATCATATCTGCATGTGCGCTGTCCCGCATGGAAATGCATAGAGGAGCAGTGTCTTGGTTCCTAAGACCATCGGAAATATGCTTTTTCCAGTAATCTTAGGCAACCCCTGTGAAAGGGTCGTTCGACTCCCAAAGGGGCCATGACCCACTGGTTGAGTAACGCTGTTAAGGTTTTCGCTTAGAAAATAATAACATTATCTTCTGTATGTATCATAGGCAAGTCTGATCTGAAGTGTTCTAAGCTTACTTAATTATATTCATCCCCAAATGAGTACTTCTTTGTGGACGGGAAGGAGCCATGGTGGCAAAGTCAGCGGTGTCAACCCACCTGCCACAATGTGGGAACTCTATGAAGTTTTCTGCTCCCATGAAGATTTGCCACCTTGAAAACCCAAAGAGGCACTTCTCCTTTGTCCTGTAGGATTACGTGCTATGAGTTGAAATTGATCCGATGACCAGTTTGGTTTTAGGTTGTTCTCTATATGGTATTACTCATGACAGCAGGCTCTAGCTAGTGACCCAAGCCCGAGATCACTCTTTAACTCTACTCTGCGCTTAGGAGTCAGTAAGTTCTAATGTCTCCTTCTTTAACATTATTATCATTTGTCCTTTTACATTTCATCATTCTGTCTCCATTGTGACTAGATGACTTGTCTATTTCAGATCTGTATTTAACCCATTCCTACAGCCAAATGCCATTCTACTTGACAAATTTGATTATGCTATTACTTTAAATGTAGTACTTTAAATATTACTTCCATTGTTTTGTTGTTAGGCATCATTGAACTGATTCTGTACAACAGAAAAAAACCCCTCTCTGGTACTGCACCATTCTCACAATCACTGTTATGTGTTTTTTTTTTCTTTAAAAAAATAATTTTATTGGGAGCTTTCACAGATTATAACATTCCATAGTTCAAACACATCAAACAGTGTTGTACAATTGCTACCACAATCAATTTCAAAGTATTTTATTTCTTCTTGAACTTGATATCTGCTCCCCTTTATCCACTTCCTTCCCCCACCATACCCCCCAGGAACCCTTATTTAAAATTTTTCTTTCCATATCTTACACATCCAATATATCCATTCACATATTCACATACACTTCTGTTCTTTAATCCCATAGAGTGGGGTTTTACAGTTTTCAGTTCCCTATTTCCCCCTTCTTCCTTTCTCTTCCTGTACCCTCAGGGAACCGTTACTCCTGTTACTGTTTCTGAAGGGTTATCTATCTTAGCTTTCATGTATCGAATGATCTTAAATATACAGATGAACCAGTGCAAATCTGACATGATTAATGAGGCAGAACAAATAAAATCTGTAATAGTACGGGGAGGAAATATTAAAGAACTAGAGGATAGTTATGTGGTTCACCAGTGCTATATCGCACCCTGGATTTATCATCTCTTCTGTATGGCCCTTCTGAAAGAGACTGCCCAGTTATCTTGCAGGTAGGTTTTCGATCTCAACTACATTCAGCATCATTTTTGTATTGAATCTGATTCTTTTAAAACTTTCTCCCCTTTTTGGTCCTATTCTAATAAATATCCTACAGAAGTAATGATTAATGATCTGGTTTATGATTAACCAGAACAAAATGAATCTAGCTTAAAAGTTAGGTCCAGTGTGATAAGAAAAAAATAATAACAATTCACTGTTATGTTTTAACCCATTGTGGCAGCCACTGTGTTTATCCCTCCCTATGGTGGTCAGCCAAAATGTGTCTTAGATGCTTGGATGGCAATACTTCACCCTTTGTACAACTTCCATTGCATTTGCTAAAATTTGTTGTGAAATGCTTAGTCCAATAATATTTCATTTCTCTTCTGAATAAATGAGCCCATGGTCAAATAAAACTTTGAAATATGCTGCATGATAAATCATTCTCTTGGAAATTGTAGCATATACTATTAAAAGAAAGGCTACACGAAGTTCTTGTCTGAAATGTAAGCACAAATTACATAACAGAAGCTTAATTTTAATGAGGATTTTTTGGCTTGCCATTTATTAATATAGGAATAGTGACAGAATATACCCCTGACAAAAGTGGACAGGAAGAAATTTTCCTTGAGAGTCATTTGGTTTGCTTCATAGGCTTAACTCATTCGAGAAGCTAAAAATGTTTAATTGTAGTTGCTTAAAAATTATAGCAGCACCTTTCTCTCAGTAATTTAATTGTTGCTCAAATATTTCTGTTTTCTGGTGACAACATTTAGGAAATAACACTACGAAGTACATTTTCATTCTTAAAGGCGAAAAGCAAATTTAATTTTCTTTAAGTGAGCTATAGCCAATCTCCTTCCTCAGTGGAAATGCCTTACAAATGATTGTTATAAACATTTTCTGTTTCTTCCTGGCAGGTAATATTTGAAGCTGAAGTCTCAGGAGGGAGAAGTGGTTATATTGCCATTGATGATATCCAAGTGCTGAGTTATCCTTGTGGTAGGTTGTGATTAAGAATTGTATTTTTCTCTGTCCTTGCAACACCTGCCTTGTATTGGCAATGACTGTTGATTGTCTATCACTTGGACATGCCTGTCTCTTTGTGTGTTTTTACTCCTAGCCTTAAGTTCAATTTTAGCTTTTATGTTTTAAAAGAACACGGAAATATTATTAGATTCTGAATCAAGTAATTTTTAGAGTTGTAACGAATTAGATATATGTCAAAAGAGTCTTAAATGATTTAATTATTGAGAACTAATATATTATCACTGCAGTTATACAAGGACTTTTCCTGCCTTTTATTGTTATTGTTATTAAGTTGTCTAGGAAAGCAAAGATGAGCAATCAGAGTTCAACCGACAGGAAATGCTAAGGAAGTCCCCCTAAGTTTATCTGTGAAACTGAGATTTGGAGTAAGATGAAAGGAAAAAGCTCAATTTATTCCTGTCCTTTTTGTCTGAGTTTTTTTTTACTTAGCCATTTATTAATACATAATTGTCAAACAAAGGGAGAAAGCAAACAAAACAAGAAACACAGATTACTAATCACATAGTTATGTTATGCCCTTAGATGCACATTGTTGATCTTCAGATGGCATGACTGAATTTGTTTTTATATTGCATTGCCTGGAAAACAAATATTGCATGCATTCATTAGTTTCACACATAAAACAGCTGGCAGAAATCCACACATTAGCTATATCTCTCAAAGGCAGTGTTTTATAGGGCTCTTGAATTCTGGTTGATCTGTGCAGTAGGCCTCCCTGGAGGAAATGTATCTATGCATTGTAAGCAGCATGGCCAGGGGGCAGCTTGGGATGGGCAATCACTGTGTTCCTGCTGAGTGGCTGAAAAACTCTAGCATTCATCAGAATCACCTATGAGCTTAGGGAATGAATGGCAGGTTGCTTGGCCCCTCCAGTACGTCAGGGTGGGAAGAGGATGTAGATTTCTATCAAATTCCCTGAGTCACTAGGTGGTGGAGAGGATCGGCACAACCAGCTGCTAACCAGAAGGTTGCTGTTGAAAGTCCCCACGAGGCATCTGACACTACACACCGGCTCCCGAACACCCGATGGAACACATTTCTCTGCTGCAACACATGGTCACCCTAAGTTGGCATGAACTAGCCAGCGGCTGGTGTTTCTACAGGATCCCAGGTGATGGCGATGCTGCTGGCCTGGGAAATGATTTTCCTAACCCTCACTCCAACTCAAATAGCTCCTGAAGTGAAGCAGCAGAGAACGATGTAGCAATACACATTATATACATTCCAAGTGGTATTTTCTGAGAATAAATTTCATTCAAAGTTTAAGTGGGTTTTCAGGGTTTTGTGTGTTTTTCTATCAATTACTGGTAACTCAAGGGAATTTTGTCTCTATTGTTCACTTTCATCTCTTAAAAATAGATGTTACACCAAAGAAAGGCTCATATGAGTCAACAAATGAAAAAATTTATTTGAGCATACTGATTGCAGTCAGTGTAATATAGTCCTCCCTGAGCTTTTCTCTTACTGATTGATGTTTAAGTTCTCTTGTTTTAATATCCTATCTATAGAACACATGAGAGCCTTTAGTTTTAAAGGGAGTTGGAGAGAAACTGGGTGGACAGGCCCATTTTGACTACAGTCAGCACTTTTTGGTGGCATTGTGTTTTTGGTTAACTTTTCTATAAATGAGTAAGAAGTAGTATTAACTACAACTAAGGTGATAACGTATTTGAGAGGAATGAAATTAGTTCCTTGTTCTTAGAGGAATCAGATGGTTGCACCTACTGAATTTTATAAAATAATAAGAAAAGAATATTTAGCTGCTTAAATTACAGCTAACTAGTCCAAGAAACATGTAAATGCCATTCTTTTAGAATCACTATATGTTTGTATTGTATTTATATATTTTGTTGCAATTTGTGTCCGTAAGGAAGTCCCTTGTGCTTGATTTGATTTGTGGTCATTTTATTATCACCCCTATGCAGCATGCTCTGTCAGCCACTGGTGGCTACAGAGGGCTCACTCGTTATATAGCAATGTTTTAGCAGCTGAGGGGAAATAAGCAATAAGGCTGATTGAGAAAAGAAAAGAGAATGAGAAAATGGTGATCCCTTGTGTGAAGAAAACTCATAGTTAATGTCATAACCAAGGGTAAAATGATTAAAAACATGATTCTGTTAGCAAAAGTAACATGTATGTTTTCTTCGTGTCACAAAATATTAATTTTATATCTATATCCAAACCATATCCATATTGATATCTCTTTCTTCACAGATAAATCTCCTCATTTCCTGCGCCTTGGGGATGTAGAGGTCAATGCAGGACAGAATGCTACGTTTCAGTGTATTGCCACTGGGAGAGATGCTGTACATAACAAGTTATGGCTCCAGGTAAGGCCAACTTGGTAACTGAGATACAGGCTATGCTCGCTTTAAGGACAATTCACTCAGGTACTTTTTGTGATTTTTATTCTTTTATTTTACACTCGTGTGTGTGTGTGTGTGTGTGTGTGTGTGTGTGAGAGAGAGAGAGAGAGAGAGAGAGAACATATAAAACTTTGTCTTTTGAGTGGGTTTGATGTAATTGAATACAGAGTTTTGTCTGTATATGAGTAAAAGTAGGAGAACATAATTTTAAAGTATTTGTATTAATCTGTAGTGAAACCTAATAATTCTCTAATAGTGTTATGTATAAGCTATTAAAAATTATTCCTCTAAGCCCTTTGGAAATACGATGAAAAATGAAAGACATTTAAAAATTTAATAATAGTTTAAACATTTAATTTACAAGAGCATAATTCTTAATTAGAAAATGTCATACTCTGACATTTTTCCCCCCTTAAAGTATTTTAGGAAACCCTTGGGAGTATTTCAGAAGATGGGCATTGTTAGTGAGCCAATTAAAATGTTTAGAATTCGTATTCATAAGGGTTGATCACAAGATTGGAATTAAATATAGTTACCTTGTATTTATCAAGTCCTCAATAAATATATATTTAATTCATTGATATTTAACATACATGTTGGGCAAGTGTAAATGCTCGATCAATGTACATTTAATTCAATATGCATTTAATTCAGTGTTTCCCAAAGTGAAGGAGACCCATACCCGGGGCCCATAAAGTGACCCAGGGGAGGCAACAAAAGCAGACACCTACTTACACTTTATCCTGGATTATGGCCTGTAGTTCAGAAGTTTTTAATTGCTAGGGAGTCACTCAGTTATTTTTTCGAAAAGGGGGGGGATAGGCCAAATAAGTTTGGCAGCTTATAAATAAATAAAAGTTTAAAAGTCCAAGAGTTACTACATGTCATAAGCGAATGTGCACAGATATATATATATATATTTGGCAGTATTATAAACGGGGAAGGAACATAGGGACAGCCAACAGTAATTCTAAAGCTGGAACGCTGAACTCTGACAACCACTGGACTAATTATTTGAAGTTAGATCATAGGTAACTGATATTCTTTTGGCAACTAGTGTAGTTCTTCCCCGCATCCAAATGAGGAAAGGGACTTAATTAGATAAAATTTTAAATTCCTGAGAATACCAATGGAGACAAAAATAAAAAGTAATTGTAAGATTAATTTCTTAAAAATAGACATGGTTTATTTTACTGTTTCATTAGAAGAGGTGAGATTAGTGTTGAGTATAATCCTTAGTTTGTAGGTGGTTAGGGATGGTGATTATAGTAAATGATTATTGAAACAAACCCTCCTAGAACAGTGGTTCTCAGCCTTTCTAATACGGTGGCCTTTTAATATAGTTCCTCTTGTTGTGGTGAACCCCCAACCATAAAATTATTTTGTCTACTTCATACCTGTAATTTTGCTACAGTTATGAATCACGCAATCTCTGTGAAAGGGTCATTCGACCCCCAAAGGTGTGTCGCGACCCACAGGTTGAGAACTGCTGTCCTCGAATGACTGATATTACCCTAGATGTCACCTATACATTATATATACATACACACAAACATGAGTTCTGTTGGTCTGCCTAATTCCCACACAGCAATCAGTTGAGTGTTTTAACAGATATAATTTATAGAAAACAAATTATTGCTATTTTTCATAACATCTGATTTTCATTTAACAAGATAGCTGTTAAAGTTTGAACTGTACTTCTTGAAAATAGGTTTTATCAATCCTAACAGCTACACCAGTGCTCAGAAGAGCCCTGGGTGCATCGTGGTTACATGTGCTGTTAACATGCAAGGCCAGCAGTTTGGAACCACTGGCCAGTCTGCAGGAGGAAGAAACACGGGGATTTCCACTCCCATACAGAGTGACAGTCTGGGAGCAGTGCTTCCCTGGGGCAGTTCTGTCCTGCCCTGGGGGTCACTCTAGTCAACCTCGACTCAATGGCAGTGAGCTTGAAGACAAGTGCTTGTCATCTTCTTTGTGAATAGCCTTTCTTTTTCTTTTCTTTTTTTTTTTTTCATTGAGAGGCCATCACAGTAGAGGGAGTATTTTAAGCCATTCATCTTTGAGATATAAAAGACCAGAGTTGGTACAAGGAAGCAAGCAGAGATGGGGGGAGACCTGTGGCCCATTGCATGAAGATCACTAGCCATTATGCAGAAGCTGAGATGAGACAAAGATTTCTGGCTGGAGCAAATACAGAATGAAAACCTTCCTTAGGGTCAGAGCCCTACGTTTAGGATGTCGCCTTCTGAACTGTGAGCAAAGGAGCTACACACAAACTATCAAAGGATTAGCGGTTTGAACCCAACCAGCGCCTCTGTTTGGCATGTGGCACGCTGCTGCCCTCAGCCGTGGCGACTGACAGGGCACTCCTGTTCCGCCCTGCAGGGGCACCATTGGTTGGAATCAACTCAGTGGCAATAAGTTTAAACTGTAAGAAAAACCACTTTTGTCATAGCAGCACAATCAAGGCATTGCCAAAATATGAAAAGAAATGAGGTCTTTTTTCTTTAAAATTGTGATTTTGCTACTTTCTCCTACATAGATTGAAATAGAAACCATCTCTCATGTCTGAATAGTGTATTATATAATTCACAAGCTGTTTTATTAGTATCAGAGCTTCTTTTTTTTTGATTTCTCATTCTCTCCTTGTGTATGTCTCTTAACTGAGTCCGTCTCTCTTACTTTGGCTCTTCTTCTGATCTAAACAAACACTTAGCTGTAAAAATATGTATGTTCAGGCTTAGTTATGCATTCTCAAACATCTCATAGATAACATTAGCTGTCATTTGATTTGTGTCCAGATCGCTCTGGCTAGGAGAACCAGAGACTATGCAACCTGCCCTTGATTTTATGCTACAGGATTTAATGTGGGTTTCAAAGAAAGGGGGTTTTGTATCCTCAAACACAAGCTGCCTAGTGGCAACAAAGATTTCTCTGGACCCTGCTGGTCTGAGTGGGTTGCAGCTCTTCTTCTGTTTGTTTGTTTGTTTACTGCTTTGAGGGTTGATTTATTTCATCATGATTTCTTCATATTTTCTGCCCGCTATTTATTGAAGCAAAGATGAGAGAGGGAAGTATTTTGTGTGGACCGTATTCAGCTTTCTGTTCGCCCTCCCCTGTCTGCACTCACCACAGGAGAGTGAATTTGTGTATTTCTTTTTGACTTTGATTTCTGCCTTGGCATTGTCAATTTCTCAGCTGTTTACAAATTTTCCTTTTTCATTCAAAAGCTATTAAGCCTTTTTTAAAGCATACCACATAAATGACTTTCACTTCTCTTAATCATTTTTCTCACTCTTCAAGAACGGTGGAAAACTATCAATTGCCGAGTTTAGGCTGTTTTCAAAGTAAAAATTTCTTTTTTTGTAATATCATTTAAAGATGAGTGTCATAAGACTAGTCATTTGCACATATATAATTTCATTTTCATTAAGAAAGAGCCTGGTGGTTGTCAATTAGTGTGATTTTTTTTTTTGCCCCCAAGTGTTAAAAGCAAATGAAGTGTAAAGAATTCTAGTTCCGATGTAAGTTTGCATATATTGTATTGTATAATCAATTAGAATATATAACAAGAAGGTGTCTGATTATTTTAGCTTGGAGAGCAATGTCCTGGAGGTCAGGAAGAACAACCCTCAATTCTAACCCCGCTCCCAGGACGCTGTATTTGCTTGGAAGATTCATTTAACTGTGTGGACCTCAATTTTCTGATCTATAAAAGAATGTTCTAGGATTGTGAAGGAAATGTCCTCCAGTTACAAATGCCAATGCGGGTCTTTAGATTATTCTGAATGTCTTGAAACATTACCTTTACCACGTTTTGTTGTTGGATAAAAGATTGAAAACCTTTGATGTTGCTTTTTGGTATGAGGATAAAAAACGGTCCCTTAAATTAAGTTTCCATGTGAGACCAACTGTTTACAGTATCTGCCGAAAGTACTGAGGAAGGATGTACTTGAAGCAACTCAATGAAAGGTCGCTGCATCCTATCACAGAAATACTGGAATAATAGAGTGGCTGTGACACCTGCCGCCATGAGCGAAATAAAAAACGATAATCAGTGTTTTGTGTCCTGTCAACCACTTACATTACATAACATTGAACTTCCATCAGTAAAATGTTGTCTAAATATGAGGTGACATGACAAAAGCTACCAAAGCGGCCAATTTTATATTTTAAAGGAAAAAGTAGTACAGAACCGCCCCAAATACTAAGTGGATGCCTGCCCCTCCCCTGAGAAGAGTGTATCTTACAGTTCTTTTAACAATCCATCCATCCATTGGAATTTTCCATCCTATGTTTTCTCCTCTAGCTTATCCAATGCCTATCTCTTAATTTTCTGGTCTAGCAACAGGAGCATTGGGTGAGTGATTCTGCCTGGACGCCATCTTGACCCTAACCTCTGAAGTACTCAGATATTTTCAGAGAAATTTTAGATTCCTCTTTTATCTTAAATGTCATGAAAGTTACCGATCATGACTGATACACACCCATACACCCGCCTCCAGGGGGTAGAACAATGGAAACCGTGGGTGTAGGGAGACAGTGGTTGGTGTTAAATATGAAAATGATAATAATTTATAATCTATCCAGGGGTCACAAGGGTGGGTGGGGAAGAGAGGAGAAAAGGAGAAGCTGATAGCAAGGGCTTAATAGAAAGTAATTGTCTAGAAAAGAATGATGGCAACATGTATACAAATATGCCTGATACAGTTGATGTATGGATTGTAATAGGAATTGTAAAAGCCTTCAATAATATGATCAAAAAAAGAAAGAAAGTGAAAGATATAATTACTTCACGTTTTATGTCATTTAGCAATTTACAAAGTGTTTTCATATGAGTCGATGTTCTTCAGTGCTAACAACAAATTTCACTCTAACCCATATTGGTCCCAACAGTGCTCCACTGCTAAAGATTTTGTTGTTCCTAACTCAAGGCTTATGGTCAAGTACAAGTAAGAGAA